AAGAATACTAATAACAACAAAATCTCATGCTTTATGAACACAGTAAGAATCCAAAATTAAGGAACCCAATCTCAGTTGGTCGATCCTAAATTTGGAAAATTCGTAGCTTATACAAATCATGCAGCAAATTTCCAAAAATTCCCAATAACAAACAGTAGATCGCCCCAACGAAAAGCATTACAACAACTACATTATGAAATCAATTAAACTAAAATTAAACTCACATAATGATAAAAAAGAAGAAGAAGAAAACCATACATTGGTGTTTTTAATTTAATTGATTCTTTCATCAAAATAGAAATACAATGTTAGAAACCATACCTAATGATCTATGTTCAAGCCACGGGACCAGAGGAGGAACACCCAAAATTTTCTTTCAATGCCGGACCTCAATCCTTTTTTGTTTTTTTTTTTTTTCGATTGTCTTCCCCCTTTTTTCTTTTGCTGTCAGCTCCACCGAAGAAATTCCTAGATCTGAAATCCCACCCCCACACCACCCCCCCTCCCTGAAAAAAGAAGGAACTCCCTTGGAACTGAAGCCTATAAAAGTGCTTCCCTGGACTCTCTCGAAAGGAGTAATTTCATTGACTCCAAAAATGTCTCGACTGGAGTAGCATAAAATACATAATGTATCCAACCATCCGACCGCCTCTTCGTTGTTAAGACAGCTCTGCTCGAGTTCCACGAGGCTGTCGTTCAGGCAAGTTTTGCAAGCATCCTGCTTTACGTTTCTCCTACAGAGTCCAATTGCGTTGACCTGATCGGGGGACTTGCCGACCGTGATATTGTAGAACCCATAATTAAAATCCTTGGTGGAAGAGATCTGGGTGGTGAGGCGGCGGAGGTTGGTCTGATAAGTACTGCGGTCGGTGAAGTTGTCAGTGGTAACGCATTTATACTGGAAGTAGGGAATGGCAGCAAAGCAGAGACAAATGACCGGAAATTAAGATTGATTGAATGAACAAACGGGTTGGACTAAATTTATCAAATTTTTATTGTTATAAAAAAAAAAAAAAGGATGGAGATGGGTGGAAGTCGTTGTCTAGTTGATGATGAGCAGCCATGGACCACATCATCAGTTCACAGAATTTGAAAACTAGCCTATTAATTTGGGTTTCCTATTCTGGAATGTTAATAACTTGTATTTAAAAAGTGAGAAACTTATGTACTTGAAAAAACCCCAGAAAGGAAAAACATCAGTTACTTTATTCTTTTCTCTGTTGACAAGATTGACCAAGTGCCTTTCTACACTAGAAATTGAAACCACTTGGAAATTATAACATCTTGTTCCAAAAATAGAAAGGAAGCAAGACTAAATTGTTAATGACCAATACCATAACTCATAAACTACAGTTGTACTGATCATCAAGCTATCTTGGATGTAGCTCGGAAATTGTAACTTGATTTGTTGAAGCCAAATCCATTCCATTATTGGATTGATTTGACTCTAGTGTGCCAGTGATAGGATCTTGAAAAGATGACATGTTTGATTGTGTGGCACTGTGTATGAACAAAAATGCTGGGCGTGAGGGCACCGGGAGACTCACAGGGTAGCCACCAAGCATGGCAACAACTAAACCCATGGTCGGCCTTTGCAGCAACTTTTCTTGCACACATAGTAATCCAATATGGATACATCTCGTTATTTGAGATGTTGAATCCTCCTGCAAATTGGGATCTACAATATTTAATGGTGTCCCTTCTGTCCAATTCCTCCACACCTATGATAAAAACAAAATTTGAACATGTTTTACACTATAAAATACTAATTAAGAAAGTATTCAATTCCAAGTACGACAATGTACCATATACTTACAATGCTTATAAGATTTAATGTGTCATCTTCATGACCAATAGAGTTATTCTTTTGACCACTCACAATCTCCAAAATCATAACACCAAAACTGAAAACATCTGTTTTAATTGAGAATCGTCCATGTGTGACATATTCTGGAGCCATATATCCACTGTAATTCAACATTTTTATATATGATCAAAGAGTATGAAGTGATGAAATAGATAATTATGGGATTTTGATACTTACTATGTCCCTGCAATTTTACTTGTAGTATCATGAGCCTCACCAACCACAAACAATCTTGCTAAACCAAAATCTGCAATTTTAGGATTCATATCTCCATCTAACAAAATATTACTTGCTTTTAAATCTCGATGAATAACTTTGAGGCAAGAGTCTTCATGAAGATAGAGAAGTCCTCGAGCAATCCCTTCTATGATTTTGTAACGTCCTTCCCAATTCAACTGTGCACGTTTGATAGGGTCTATGTATACATTCATATATTAGTCATTATTAATTATAAACAATCTGAAATATCCATCTTAGAGTGAAATAAAAGAGGGACATGTCACATACCAAATATGAAACGATCAAGACCCCCGTTTGGCATAAATTCAAAAATGAGAAGTCTTTCATTTTCTTCCAAGCAAAAACCTAGGAGTTTGACCAAATTGCGGTGTTGAAGCTTGGCCAGTAAGAGAATCTCGTTTTTAAACTCTGACTCTCCCTGTCTAGAATCATTAGATAGCCTTTTCACAGCTACAACTTGTCCCTTTGAAAGTTGACCCTGTAAATCAATTCGTAACTACTACATTTGAGTCCAATGACTAAAATTCAATACATACAAATGACAAAAAAATGTTATAAATTTCTTATTCTAATGGTCATCATCACCTTATAAACAGCTCCAAAACCACCTTGTCCAAGCTTATTTTTGTCACTGAAGTTATTGGTAGCAGCTCGCACAGTAGCAAAGTCATATTGCAAAGACTCTGCCTTAATCATTTCATCTATAGCTGAAAAAAAAGAAGGCAACCAAAAATCCCAAGCTTTTCAGTAAGGAAGCATTAGAATACATTATCTTCAAAGATCAGAAGTTTCTTCTTGCATTCTTTTTTTGAACTGAAATTTTCTTCCTGAAAGTTTTTCTGGATAAATTAAATATATCAAGATAATTTAGGGAGAAATTAATGTTACATTCATTTTTAACTCTTCGCTTTCGGAGACTTAAACTAGTCCAAATACATAGGACAAGCAACATAATGCCGAGAATTGAAGCGATGACCACAATGATCATTCTTCGTTTTTTGTTGCTTCCATTTCCTGCAAAAGCAAAATTTTTTAGATATATAATCTAACACACGAAAATAAAAAAATCAAAAGTAAAATTTAAAGATGATTCCAAACTTCCATCTACTAAAATGGGACTGAGAAAAATAATTTTACATTAAGAATATTTAAATAATTTTACAAAAAAAAGTTCTAATAGATAAGATATTAGGATATTTTGATTTCCACTTTTTCGCTTTTCTTATTCTAAAATAGATCAAGAACCATCTTGTTTAATTTTTAACCGACTAAATTGCCTTTTTGGTCTCCAAACTATAGGGGTGATTTGAATTTGTCCACAATGTCTTTTTTGTCCCGTTTGTATCCTTAAATTTTCAAACCTGTTATCATAAATTATTTTCATTCCTGTACACGCTTACCACGTCACCATGTCACACTGCAGAACAAAAAAATGGGGATGGTAATGTTTAGATCTCAAACTCTTAATAGCTTTCAGTTAGACCCTTTGAAAAGAAATACCATTAATCGGCCTTGCACTTCATTTTCAATAGTTTAATCATGGTTTTTTTTTTTTAAAGTAAAAAATGATTTCTTATGTAAATCGATAAATATGAAATTGAATGCAAATATGCAATTATTAAAGTTAAATAAAATAAAAAAATGCACTAAACTGCTAGGAGAAGACTCCAAAGTTGATGGTGGAGGCTGGAATCCGGTTACTTTACCTTTTGCTGGAGGAGTAAACGACGGAGGAACATCTTTCTCTGGAGGAGGTGAAGACGGCCATGGTGATGGCTGAGGAACATAGTCTGCTTTACGTTTCGGTGAAGGAGGAGGAGGTGAAGACGAATACGGTGATGGCTGAGGAACATCGTGTGCTTTACCTTTCCCTTTCCCTGGAGGAGATGGATACGGCGGCAGTGGTGGTTGGGAATTATTATCGGGTGTGGTTCCAATGAAGGGGGAAGTATCATATCTCAAGTTACAGCTTGGTAGCAGAACTCTGCATCCGGTCATTCCTTTGCAGCCTGTGGTTCCAGGCATCTTCCCTATGGCTGTCTCGAGACAACTGCTACATTGTTCCGAGGACAGATCGGGAGTGCACTGCACGAGTGCGTAAATTCCCGAACCGTAGTTATCCGCTGCATAATTGAGAGTAGAATCTATAACACCGGCAGCCACTCGGCTGGTTAAGTTAGACAACAAGGAATTCACTGCCTGATTGAACTGATTATCGCTCGTTGTCTTACCAGTAGGTCGTATTATGAAGGGGTTGACTTCGGGATCCTTTTCGACAATCACTCGGTTTGCGTAGCGTAACATAAAGAAATCCGACCACCCAATTGCCTCTTTGTAGTTGGAGCAGTTCTGCTGAAGCTTCGAGATGGTGTCCTTAAGACAAATTTGGCAAGCATCCTGCTCTTGGTCTCCCCTGCAGAGTCCAATTGCGTTGACCAGCTGGCCGGAGCTTCCGGTACCCTCGAGCTTCCAATAGAACCCATGATTGTAAGAAGACGAAATCTGGGAAAAGATATTGTGTAGGTTGGCCTGGTAAGTACTTCCATTGGCAAAGTTGCCATTGGGAACACAAAGAGACTGGAAAAAGGGATCAGCAGAAAAGCTTAAATTGACGAGGTAAATGTGAAAAACAAAGGAAAATAAGATGAGAAGCAGCCTTGAAGATCTCATTTAATTACGCCTTTTCTCTAAACTTTCAAACACTTGCTGATGTATATGCTTTATCAATGGAAGATTGAAATATATGCCATTAAGTTATTGACCTTTCTATATGTTTAAAGCATCTACAATATCCGATGGTTGCTTTCTTACTGGTGAAGGGTTCCTACTTCCTTCCCACCGCTTGAACTAATGAAGTTGGACATACTTACTTGACTGAGAACCGAGTTGATCGTTTATGGTTTGTATTTGTCCTATTGACATTGATTGCTCCGCTTTGCCGGCCAGGCTAGTATTCAGTAATTAACGGGTCAGTCAAGTTAGATGTGGGTTGTATTCTTTCTTTCTCCTTAATTGACTTCCATAGAGGTATGGAGGATGATATATAAGGTAATTGCAGAGAAAGGATCCAGTAATTAATCAATCAAGGTGCGAAAGATGGAAATTAAGAGCATGTGCG